GCAGCCAAACCACTGCTGGTAGCAGCGAGTAGCAGTTGCTGATTCAGACAACCTTGGCTTGCACCAAAGGCACTGACAGTTTAAAAAAGGAACTACAAACAGATCAAAGTGCATGCTATACTTCAAAGAAATTGTCCGTATGAATGGTATATTTACATAGAAAATACACAAATGGGCTACGAGGAAGGGCAGGGAGGGATGTGACACATATGACATGAAGCTGGAAAGGAAAACTTGGGGCTGGGAGGCAGAAAGTGAGAATGGGAGGCGGAAGTTAGAGGAAAGAAGAAAGGAGCGTCAATAAGACTGAGTATGAAGATTCCCTAAGTAGATGAGTGGTGAATCTGTGTCATGCCAGAATGGTAACAACTTATTGATGTTCTAACTAAAGAAAGAATTACTTCCTTTGTGATAAGAAATTGCAGTTTATAAAGTACATTAAAGTAAATTGGCTCCTGAAGTATTAATTGTTGGTTTATCACCTAATTTGTAGCCCTCATTTTATAAAAACTCAGCCACCTTACACTGTCTGAATGAGGAATGCAGTTCTGGAGTCCGGTTTGCGCTGTGCACTAGGGCTGAGTAAGTCTTTCATTCATTCAGCTATCTTTGGAATTTTCTGACTACCTAGTATATTTATTAAATGTATTATTTACACAAAGTATTATTTTGAGTCTTCCTCTATTTCTTAACCAAACATCATTTAAGCTGTCTGAAAAATTATCACTAACCTAATATGTCATTCATTTTATCTGCATATTTTGATGTAATAAAAACAGGAAGTAAGCACAGAGCTACAAAAGAAAAAAACAAAACCAACAACTTTATACAAATGCTGAGCTTTCTTAAATTGCTTGGGAAAAATTATTTTAGAAAAGAGTCAAGAGTGAAGGAGTGAGAGAAAAAAAACAGAATACAAGAAACCATTCCTGATGTTCTAATGCCTAGAAATAGCAATTTCATGATTATGGTTAATATATCATGTTTTTGTTTTGATATACAGACTTTATTAGTCTCTTCAGTCATTACTATGATCAAATACCTGACAAGAAACAACTTAAAGGGGGAATGATTTATTTTAGTTCATTGTGCAAGGACATAGAATCCATCAAAATGGGAGAGACCGTGCAGCTGGGGTCTCTGTGGCAGCAGGAGCCTGCTGTGTGGCTCTTTGCATCGTTGTGGATCAGGAGGAAAAGGTGAGAGTGGAAGTGAGACAGGCTATAAACTTCAAATACATGTCCACATCCATGACTGCGGTCTTGACACATATCCAGAAGTTCCACAACACTGCAACCTCCAGCCGTCTTAACCCCCGAGCCATCTCTCCAGCCCCAGAATTATGTATTTATGGTACATTATATAATTCATTTTATTTCTTCAATCTTTTACATTTATTATTTTGTCTCTAAATCTAGAACTATTGCTTCCAATTCTTTTAATCAAAACTACAAGCAGTGGATAAGCTATACTGTTGCCATGTTTACTCCATGGTGTGAGCCCCAGGTGGCAGAGAATCCCTTCCCTTCTCACCTCTCTCTGTGCTAGTCTTGCCTCAGCATCTGTGGCATGGGAAGCATCCCTGGCCAGCACAGCATCCCAAGGTCTGCAAATGAACTGTGCTTGTGCTTTCTGAGCCTTCTCAAAGCTTTCCCTGCCTAGGTTCCTGGTTCACATTCCTCCTCTTTGGGTAAAACTACCAAAAGCAACCGAGAGTTTACTGTGTTTTTAAGATTTATTTGTGTGTGTGTGTGTGTGTGTGTGTGTGTGTGTGTGTGTATGCATGAATATTTGTCTGTGCTTCATGTCTCTCTAGTGCCTGTGGATGCCAGAAGAGGGTATCAGGTCCACCAAAATGAGAGTTATACACATTTGTGGGTTCTAGGATCTGAACTTGGATCTCTTGAGCAGCAAATACTCAAATTCTGAGCCATCTTTCCCACCCTAAGAATATACATTCTTAAATAATTATTTTTGTTGTTCTGTGATCCACATATGTAGTATCTTTGTCAGTTTGAGGTGACTGTTCAGTTGTAGAGGTTAACCAGGAGTAATGTCAATAAACTGTAATATCTGGGGTTCTGTCGGACCTTGCTGGCTAACAACTTAAAGAGAAATAATTCTGACACTGGGTTTTATATTTGCTACATTGTGATGCCTACTAGGGGTGTTGTTCCTTTATTATAGGGTAACTTGGTTTAAAATGTGTGTGTGTGTGTGTGTGTGTGTGTGTGTGTGTGTGTGTGTGTGTGTAAGCAAACTTGTACAGTAGTAAATTTCCATATGACATTTTCAAAAGGTCTGTAATATTCATTACCACATCCTAAACATTCCCTTTACCCTTTCCTCCCACCCCTACCCCATATGACCCTTCCACTTCCAATACTTTCCCTTTTCCTCTTTATATCATCACATTGTATCTCCCCTCCCCTGAAAGTCCTTCCCTTATGATTTCTCACAAGTTTCCTGACCTCTATGGATATTCTAAAAGAAACATACACATCTAAATATTCAACATGAACATTCACATATGAGAAAAAAAGTGAAGTTTGTCTTTTTGTGCCCAAGTTACCTCAATGGAATCTAGAACTGGCAGCATAGCCTGTGACTAGGTAGGCCATGGACCCACTACCATTATTCTGCTAAATTGACATCATATTAAGATAAGTTTAATGACATCATTATGTGCATATAGTAATGCATCTCTCAACTCTCAACGAGAAGCTTTTCTTGTTGCAGTAGATTGGCAGAAACCCACAACTTGTCAGAATACAGAGAATAAAGACTACAGAGTGTTCAGCACTAATTGGAATCTGTGGCATATGCTGTTCCCCCAAAGCATAGGGATCATGGAGGAAGAGGGAGTGTAAGACTGTAAAAGCTTTAGGCTGTGTATGATTGCAATAAAGTGGCTCTCTGAACACAACAAGACAGGTGTACATACGAACCCACAGCAGTTGTGGCAGACAAAATCAGCATGTGGTCTTAGAAGGTGGGCGCCCTTCCCTGAGGACCTCTTAGCAAGTAAAGCTGCTAGGAAAGGGCAAGTCACTTTTCTAGGCACTATGATCTTGCCCTTGGTAGGACCACACTCTAGGTTTGGCCCTTCACCCAAGAGCAATTGCACTCACTGGAGTTAAACAAACAAAGGATGTGAAACTGGGTGAGTAGGGATGTGGGAGTGCATTAGAAGGAATTGGAGTAGGCAAGTACATACGATCAAAATACATTATATGAAATTCTCAAAGGGTTAATAAATACTATTCACAAAATAAGAAGAAATCTTAAATTCATTCTTCCCATAGATTCTGTTAGAACAACTCAGCACATTTTGTCTCTTCTTTTGGGTTTTATAGACATTTGTCTCTTGAGAGTGATTGTCTTGTTTTCCTTGTAAGAATAAGGATCCATTCATCTTTCCTTTGTCTGTTTTGGGTCAATTCTCGATAAGAATGGATCCTATTTGATAGAGTAGTATATGGGAATTTTAGACTTATATTTTTGTTGTGCATGATTGAATATTAAGTTGTGTGTAATATTCCTAAAAATTCAGAGCATTTTTATTACTTGAGTCTCTGTTAGCCAACCTGTGAAATGTCAGAATTCTGTGGATGATGCTACCTTATCTCATGAAGCCCTGGTTTTTTATCTTCTTTGTTGATATTGATTTGTCAATGACTATCATTAAGAATTAACTTACCAAATATCAGTTGAGCATTGTGCTTTACCCCTTCCACTGGGAGATATAAAATGTCATAAAGCATGGCGAAGGACCTCCGCATCCAGCTAAGATGACAAGTCTAGCACACATAAAATTTAAGTGTAAACAGTGTAGACACTGTTAATCTGGAGCGACAATGCTCCAGTGGCTTACAGAAATGAGACCACCTACAGTTAATTAGCTGACTTATCCTAAAACCGCTCAGCAGGACACAACAGACAGTCATCCGAAACTGTAGGAGAGAAAAACTTCCATCTGCCGCCTGCAAGGTTATGAAACCAAGACCTCCCAAGCTGGCAAAGTGTCTGGTCTTTGGACCCATGCCATCCTGGACTTTTACTTAAACTTCACTGATCCAGGCCAGTCTATGTCACAGTTCCTGGGAATGCCTTTGTCCTGGCTGATAGCTTAAAAATGTCAAGCCCGTCTCTTTAACCATGGCTGTGTGAATGTGCCATAGTATAGCATTGATTCTTGTTTATCTGCTTTACCTGTTCCAATTGTAGATTTGTGTTTTCAGAAGCAGCTCTAGCTTATGTAATCATCCTAAGGTCTTTAATCCTTTTTTCCTTGGAAGAGATCAAATCATTCCTTCAGTGCATTTGTCCTAAAACGTTTAAAGTTGTTTCTAAGGACAGGCTTGACACTGGCCTCTCGGTTACATATTATGCACATCTGTATTCTCTTGTCACTCTCCACAACTGCAGAAACTGGCTGTACATGTAGTTTTGTAATGCTTTTTAAATAGGATTTCTACCAAGTACTTCCAATTTTTAATGCTTATGTCTTCCTTCCCTATTATATTTAACAGAAAATATAATTGAATTATTGATGATTAAATGTTGCTTTCCCTAGGGAAGTGGTTATGCTTACTAAATGTAGGGGTGTATATGCACATTTGTGCATATGCATGTGAATGTCAGAGGACAATGTCAGGCATTCTCACTTACTTTCTTTTTGAGACATGGTCTAGAGCATGCATAGTTATCTAAGATATCTGTCCAGCCAGTCCCGGGGATCCCATGTTTCTACCTCCCTAGTTCTAGGACTGTAGGAGTTTATACCACCACAGTCAGCTCTCTTGCCTGAGGATGGAGTCTAAACATACAACCTCATGTTGGAGCTACACCTGCCTAAGCCTCCTGTCCAGACACTAATCATTAAAGTTTTATGCACTCACATAGACTTCCTTGTTTTATATTTTGTTTTTACTTTTAATTTTAAAAATAAACTAGTTATTTTAATGTAGTATAATATTCATTTTCTCTTATTTCCATAGGTAAAAAGATGGCTTATCAGAAGGTCAATGCAGATTTAAGAACCTCAGGACACTCACAGTACTTAGACAATGATGACATCCAAGCCACTGCTCTTGATTTAGAGTGGGATATGGAGAAGGAGCTGGAAGAGCCTGGCTTTGACCAGTTCCAACCAGATAATGCTGAGACTCAGAACTTGGGCCACTCAGAAACTTTAGACCTCCATCTTGATTCTATTCAACCAGCAAGTTCACCCAAAGGAAGGTTCCAGAGACTTCAAGAAGAGTCTGACTATGTTACCCACTACACAAGGTCTGCACCAAAGACCAGCCGCTGCAACTTTTGCTACCTTTTAAAAATAATTTGCATAGGCACTATTCTATTTAGTTTTGGAATTCTAATAGGTTATTATGCACACATGAATTGCCCTTCTGATGCCAAACCATCACGAACAAATGACCCTCAGTTATACCAGGATATTCTCAAGACGATCAAAGCAGAAGATATTAAGAAATCCTTCAGGTAGGTACAGAGAAATGAATGTTGGTGGGATGCATTTCCTGGGAGGTAAATCTCTGAAGAGAGATTAAACTGGAGTTGTAAGTTTGTTAAGAGGATGAACACAACTTACACCAGGAATAGAAACTTATGGAAGGACACACATTTTCAGGTTTTTGGTTCTGCAATATAAATTTATGATGTGCTTTTATGAATTGATAATAGTAACCATAACTACAATGGCAACTGAAAGACTCTAGCTTATGCATTTTCTCCCTTTGAGAAATCTTGCTAGGCCATGTTGGGATACAAAGATGGTTTGAAACAAAAGCAATAAAAACTAGGATATTTGTCACATGATTACAAATTTAATGGCACCACAATGAAATACATATGTTTTATAGGATGAGATAACTGCCATTAATTACTCCCAGGGGAACTAGGGGTTGTTGAAACCTTGTATTTCTCACCTTTCAAGTAGGCAATCTGTTTTTAAACTCATTAGGTTCCAACCATCAGATAATCCAAAAAGCTACCTTCTCTACTGAAGGTGACTTAGTGGGATAGCTATGGGACAAGAATGCATTGATTATTCAATCAAATTATAATAAAACATTCTTATTGAGGAATTAATCTAAGTTGTTAGGAAGAATACCAATGTGACAACTTGATGATTGTTATTGGCTCATAGTTTACATACATAGTAAAATGGGTGGAGAAGAACAATTGGAAATTGTCTTCCAAGAACTTAGGAGAAACAAACAACCTTTTGTCACTTGTATGAAGGTAGAGTCCAGCAGTACTGCTTTCCCAGAATGTTTGTTGTGGATCATAGTGATTTACAACTGCAGAGTTGCTTGTAAGTGTATGTCTAGTGATCTTCCTGGGAAAACTTACATTAAAGATGTATGAAGTGTAGTAATGCTGATGAATTCTAATACTTTCCATGATGGGAAGATGGTTCCTATGCACATCTTGTCTGGTTTTCACTAATGCTTAAGCATCCCTGGAAGTGTAATTGGCAGGTGATAATTTTACACGATATTTCCTCGTGTAAAATTTCTCAATTATTGAATTGAGTTAAAAATTGTGTTTTATAAAGATCTATTGTGTCAGTTATGAGTTGACCTATACATGAGAAAATAGCTTAAATATTTCAAGCAATGGGTGAGCAATTGTTTTATTTTATTTTGTGTGTTGTGTAAGGTTTATGTACACATATATCTAAAGGCCAGAGGTCAGTGTCAGGGGTCTTCCTTATTTGTTCTCCATCTTTCTTTTTGAGACAGTGTGTCTCTCTCTGAATCTGGTGTTTATATATTCAGATAGTTGCCCAGTAAGTGCTAGGTGTCTTTCAGTGTTCTTCTTCCCAATTCTGAGATTTCAGCTGTCATGTGTAGCCATGCCTGGCTTTTATATGAGTACTATGGATACAAGTCACATCCTTTCTCTTGCAAGGCAGAGACATTTTTGAGCAAACTACCTCTCAGCCAGCCCCCAAGCAATGGATATTCAGTGTAGGCCTGTTATTACATCAGGGATGAAGAATGTGGAACTTATCAGAAAATAGTGAGGCAGCCCAGAATTAAGCCACCATTAAACCTAGGAAAATAAACTGGTGGATACTAGAATTTTCTACTTACACAAGTGCAGGCAGGACACAACCTCAGCTAGAGACAATACCAAGTCAAGAGAGGGTGAGAAGCACAGCATCCCAGCTTCCTCCTGCCCCCCGGGGTCCTAGCAGCTATTCCAATACCTGAATCCAGAAGGAGGTTGACTGGGAACCCCAGAAACTTCTTCTAAAATTGTCAGAGGCTGAGCAGAGGTGAGAAGCAGGTCTTCATAAGCAGATGCCTCTGTCAGTGGGAGGCTATTTCTCTAAGACAAAAGGTTAATTAGAACCCTATAAGGCTGTGTTTACTTCACCAAGGCATCCCGCTATATTGTAAAAGTAGCTTCTGCAAGGGACCTGTGAGATTAATTTCTCTTTAACATTGGGAGTAATTACATTCTCCCCTAGCTACATGTCAGTTTTCAATTTATGAGCACAATGTAGTTCATAGCCTCAAACCCATTTTTGTCTTTACATTGTCTTAGTCGGAATCAATTCTGTGTGAAGTCACGAGGGATTCCCACTTGCATTTGATTTACTAACTAGGCTACTTATATATTTTCTTTCTTTACACTTTATTAATTTTGTTTATTTTCAGCACTGTAAATACTTTTAAAAGCTTGCTAATATCTTTATTTCAAATATACAACTGATGATAAAATTTTAAATATACGACTAAGTAAGAATATTATATCCCTTATGATGGAATTTGAAGGAAAGTGTGTTTTATTTTCCAAATAAATAAAAGAAAATCAACAAAAATATGATATATCTAAAGTTAACCTCAACACATACATTTACCAGGGATTAGTCTACAGGAATATCCCAAGGTAAGACACATATTCAATTATGCTCTATAAAATTGCCATGATTTTTCTTATTCATATAGTTTTCTTAAATAATAGTGTTTTGGTACAAATACGTTTATACTAACTATCTGAATAACATCCTCTCAGTCAATGACAACTTTTTCCTCAAAAATATTGCTAACCATATACCTTATTCTAAATTATGTGCTGGTTTCTTGCCAACTTATAGTTACTCGGGGAAAGGGATTCACAATTGAGAAACGTCTATCAAATTTTCTTGTAGGCAAGTCTGTAGTACATTTTTTTTACTCACTATGGGCTCCTGTTCCTGGGTTCTATGAAAAAGCAGGCTGAGCAAGCCATGAGGATCAAGTCATGGATAAGAAGCTCCCCCCCTTCATGGATTGTAATTCAGTTTCTGTCCCCAGGTTTCTGCCTTTAACTCCTGCTATGTCATCTTTCAATGATGAACAGTGATATGAAATGCAAGCAAAATAAACATTTTTCTCTCCAAGTTGATTTTGGTCACAACATTCTGTTACAATGATAGAACTTTAATTAAGGCAGAAATTAGTACCAGGAGTGGGATACTGCTATGATAAAGCTAACAGTGTGTTCAGGAGAAGATTGTGTTAACACTGGAACTTTGGCCTGGAAAAGCCATTGAGCTCTCAGAGCTTTTTTAACTGTTGTAGGAAGTATTTTGGCAATGGATTCCTCTCTATCAATTTTCAGTTCCTTTCCATGCTCTACAAGTATTTCTAGTCTTGTCAAATAATCTGTCAATTGCTCTATGTAAAAGATATTGCAGTTCACATTTCATGAAGAGAACAAATTTACTTTGTTGAACAGTAGATTCCCATTTTTATCAGTCCTTACAGAATTAGTATTTATAAGGAAGAACAATCATTCTATGATAATAGGAATCAGATCTGCATTGTATTTATAAATTATTTATTGAGAAAATAACATTGCTATTTAGACTTTCCAAATATTATTTCAAAGCAGTAATATACACATAAAATTTGTATTATATTATCAATTATGTCATTAATCAGGGATATGTTGTGTTTATTGAAATAAATGACAACTTATATAAAAAACAGATACTATGAAATGTTAAGATATTTCATTAAAGCCTTAATTTCCAACTGTTGAAGAAGATAATTACTATTATATTTTTAAAGCCACTATGTAAAATTATTAAAACAAATACTAGTGTATCAGGACCTTTAAGATTACCAAATGACATTATCATCTAGAAAGTCTGTACTCCAGAATCATATAGCTGAGGTCCGTAAGAATTACATAAGAACTCATGTTTCACTCCTGTTTTAAGTTCATGAGTTTGTGCATAGGTACAGATAAGTCAGTTTCTGAGTGTCTTGTGGACTTCATAAAAAAATAAGTAAGATTACTGACAGACTAACATTTGTTGACATAGTATCAGCAGAGAGGTATGAAGGTCATGCACATGTACTGCATGATTGTGCTAATCAATTTTCTCAGAGTATGTTCTTAGTTATTTATTCCAGTACTTGTTGCTTGTTGGAAAATGAACTCTTCTTTAAGTTGATAGTTTGTTTCCTACTTATGTTGTTCTGTGTTTATGCATGTAGACTTGCAATATGTCAGAGATACTCTGAGACATCAGATTAAAATAGGTTATTAAAAGTTGCTTTAATATATGCTTTCATTCATTTTGACAATGAAGGTTATTGTAAGCATTCAAAGATGAAACTGATTTTATATCATCTACAAATAGGAATTTTCTTTTGATTAGGACTGGATATATAGAATTAGAATTGATATTATCCAAGTATCTTTGTTCACTGATTTCAACTAAGCTTTGACCATTGAAAAAGCTTAACTCCATCTCTAGATGTATTCCAGATTTTTATTTTCATTCTTTTTTAAATTGAAATTTGATTTTTTCATTTAATGTATTCTAACTATGATTTTGCCATCTCTAACTCCTCCCACATCCTTCCCAACTCTAAAAGAACCCAAATATCCACACCTCTATTTTTTCTCTCTTTCTCATTAGAAAACAAAAGCATGGACATGTACGGATGCAGTTACAGAGGCAGCACACATAGAGTCTGCACAAATTTAAACCAGATGAGGTCCCAGAGCTGAGAAAGTAGACAAAAGGCCCAATCCCAACCCAGAGGATTTCTCCTGGTGATAATTGCCAACAAAGTAATGATTTGTTTTCTCCAATTAAATGTCACTGGGTATACAAACCACATTTAAGGGACATCCATGCCAACACAAGACAAACTCAATGGTATGTTGTCTCATAATGCTTTGTCTGGAAATTTTGTTGTTGTTGTTCTTGAGACAGGATTTGTCTGTGTAGCTTTTGTAACCTGTCCTGGAACTCGCTCTGTAGGCCAGGCTGGCCTTAAACCCATAGAGACCTGCCTGGCTCTGCCTCCCGCGTGTTGGGATTAAAGGCATGTGCCGCCACTGCCTGGCTTGTCTGGACAATTTTTTATGTTTTAGTTTTTTCCTCCTATATCTTCACCAAGTAACTTTATATCCTAGTTCATAATGAAAATTATCTGTCTAAATTTGGGGGAGGGGAGCCCAAAACA